CAAGATCTTGTCCTAATGCTTCCTTTGAAGCTTCGAGCGGGGGCTGCCTCCTGAGCTGGGCTGATGGGGCCTGGAGTGTCGTCTTGAAAGCCACTGTGCCACTGGGCCGACCAGGAGTCGGTGGCTGTGCCGCGGCTCTGTGGGAAACTGATCTTTTCCTTCTGTCCCAGCTGAGTTCGGGATTTTGAATATTTACTTGTTTGAGAACTTTCAAAACTGTCTGGGAGGAGGAGGGAGCAGGAGTCCCTGCCTGCGGGCGGTGGTGGGTCAGCGGTTGGAGGCCTCAGCTGCGGTGCTGAGGTCAAGCCTGCCAGTTCGGGCAGGGCAGGCGCCTGAGCCTCGATGTCTTACAGCACTGGCCAGGGGCTTGGTGCTCTGCTGTCCCCCTTATTCCCCTTCCGGACTGCAGAAATCTTTCCCAGGAAAGCTTGCTTTTGGGGGGGTGGGGGGTGTGTTTGCCCGGTCCATGGCTAGGTGGGACAGATCAGAGCAGGCGTAGGAAGACGCTGAAGGTTTGCCCTCTTCCCCAACAGGCTGAGCTGATCAGCAAACAGGCTCAGGAGAAGTTTGATCTGAATGAAAACTGCGCCGAGCGCACCGGCCTCAGGGGCGCTGCGGGAGAGCAGCTGAGCTTTGCTGCCGGGCTGGTCTATTCCCTGAGCCTCCTGCAGGCTACGCTGCACAAATACGAACAGTGAGTACCCAGCCCTTCTCCTCACCGTTGCTTCCCGCCCGCTTCGCCTTCAGGAAGCACAGAGGACCTCTGCAGCCTCGCAGCGGGGCCTGGTCCCCCTGGAGTTAAAGATTTTGGCAGCTGGGCTAGAAAAAAGCTGAGGGATCCCATGTGTTGCCTTCTCTTGCAACTCTCTCTTTGTTTTCCTCACAAGAAGTGACACATGAAGGGATCCAATTCTCTAGCACGTGTTGCTCGCTCTTCAGCTGTGACCATGTCCTGAGGCCAGAAGTAGCCTTGGTGCATTGATTTTTCCATCTATCCTACCAGGAGATGCATCCCAGTCTCTTGCTGAGCTTGATTGCGTCTGGGGTTGCCTCTGGCCTTCAGTCCCCAAGAGCAGCAGGCCCTCCCCTGCAGCCCAGTGCCCCCTTCCACCAGCGCCCAGGGCTTAGTCCTGTGCAGAAAGTTTCACGGAGTGTCAGCCCGAACGCTTGGTTAGTGTGAGCCCATCGCTGGGCAGAGCCTGGGCTTTCCTTGGAGACTGGGAAATGCCTTTGGGCACCAAACCAGCTGTGGCTGGGGAGGGTGCTCGCCTTGAGGCTTGCTCAGCTTTGCCCCCAGGAAAGTGGCTCGGTTTGAACCAGAGCACTGAGAGATCCCTCTGCTCGGGCACCAGCACGGCTGATGAACTCGTAGAGTCTCCTCCTGCCTCCAGCACTGGCTTCTGGCTTCGAGCCTTGGGTGTTTTTCAGTCTGGGGCTCCCTTTCCTGTAGCTCCCAGGCAGCCTCTCTCATGCCTGGTTTTCTACAGATTTTCTACAGATTTTTGACCTTTGTTAACCGCCGTCTAGCTATGGTGCTCCTGCGGGTCCAGCTGGTAGTCCTGGCGGGTTCCAGCGGTCTGAGATTGGCACCCAGCAGCAAAGCCCTGCGTTGATGCTGTCTGGAGCATGTGCCTGTCCCAGCCAAGCTGACTGTCTGCCTTCCCTTACCAGGGCCCTGAACAAATGCAGTGTGGAGGTGTATAAGAAGGTGGGGATGCTGTACCCCGAGATGAGCGTCCATGAGCGCTCACTGGACTTCCTGATCGAGCTGCTGCACAAGGACCAGCTGGACGAGACGGTCAACGTGGAGCCGCTGACCAAAGCCATCAAGTACTACCAGGTCGGTCTGCGGAGCCGGGAGCAACGGGCTCTTGGCCACGCTCGGGGCGTTTCTGACCTGCAGGGTGGGGAACTGGTGCAACCTCACCAGTGCGTGCCACAGCTGGAAATCGTGCCCTTGGATACATCGTTCATGTGGGGCATTGATAAGCTGCGAACGAGCTCGTTGGCAGCACTTTCCTTTGGATGTCTTTCATCACTGGAGCACGCAGGATGTGAGCCTGTGACTTGGGGGCTGTGCTCTCCGTCCCTGGGAGGACGCCAGCAGAAGGGTTGCGGTTCTCCTGTCCTGGGTTCCTGCACCTCTGTGCCGCCGGTCAGGGTTGCTGAGCCCTTGAATTAAGGGCCACCAGCTTTTTTGGAGGGCAGAGTATTCGCAGGGGCTCTGGTGGGGGTCACTGCGAGAGTTTTCACTTCCGATTAAAAGTTAGGCCAAACCCTCAGCATTTGTTTCTTTTATGTATTTACTCGTTTGGTTTGTTTGCTTGCACGTGTGGAAACGTCTGAGGGGTGCTGACCTCTGCGGATCTCTCTCCTCACCTAGCATCTGTACAGCATCCACCTGGCTGACCAGGCTGAAGACTGCACGATGCAGCTGGCCGACCACATCAAGGTGAAGTGGCAGAAATATCCTGACTCTTTCCTTGTTACATATTTTCCACCGTTGCCCTTTCTGCCCCCCCAGCCCCGAGATAATTTTGTGAGTTGAAGTGCCTCTTCCCCCCCTCTCCCCCTTGCAGTCACTTTTCCCCAGCTCCCACACAGAGGAGGCAGAGAGGTGATGAGGGCTCCCGGGTCAGGGCGAGGGGAGGAAGATGTGGGGCCATTTGCCCTGCAGATGTCTGGGTAGAGAGAGAAGAGCGGCAAGGAGTGCGGAGAACCCAGTGTCTCAGAGGGACTGTTGTACTGCCCTGAGCTTCTAAGGGAAGTACCAGTGTCCTGTGCCCCACAAAGTAAAACAAAAATTGACTGAATGCCTCAACCTGTTTTCCTGCTCCTGTAAATCCTGGAGTTGTGGCAGGGTGGCGTAGAAACAGCATGTGCCCAAATCCTGGAGTTGTGGCAGGGTGGTGTCCAGAGGGTCCGTCCCGAAATGCCCGAGGCCAAAGCCGCAGTTTGCCCTAGAGCAGCTCTCTGCCCGGTCTCTGCTTTGCCCCGAGCTGACGGTACCTGTGTTTGTGCTCTGCAGTTCACCCAGAGTGCCTTGGACTGCATGGGGGTGGAGGTGTGCCGGCTGCGATCCTTCCTGCAGGTAGGACCGGCTCGGGGCGGCTCTGCGGCGTTGTGCTGGCTTCCCTCGCTGGCATCCCTCAGTCAGTTTGTCTGAGGTCCTTTCTCTGCTCCCCAGGCCGGGCAGGAGGCGTCTGACCTTGCCATCCTCCTCAAGGACTTGGAGACCTCCTGCAGTGACATTCGCCAGTTCTGCAAGAAGATCAGGCGCCGCATGCCTGGGACGGACGCTCCGGGTATCCCTGCGGCACTGGGCTTCGGGCAGCAGGTCAGCCGGCTGGCAGAGCCGGGCACCCTAGCGCTGCCCCGCGTGGGGCCGCGTGGGCCACGTACTGGAGGCTGCGGGCTGCACTGGGCTAGCATCAAACGCCGATAGATCACCGCTGTCCTTGCTGGCTCCAGGGAGGGAGCGTGCTGGTGTGCAGTGCCCTGCTTAAGCTGAGCAGCAGCCCGCCGCTCAGGCAGAGGAGGATGGCGCGAGCTGCGACGGGATGTAGTGTCTCTGGGCTTTGTGTTTTCAGCTGGGACGGAGACGTGGGCTTTGTACCCTGCTTTTCTCCAGCCTTCAGTTTCTTTTTACCTTTCCTGGTGCTCCCCATTTTCCCAGTGATGCTTCATAACCAAGTTAAAATCTCAGTATCTGTCAGAGGAGCATGCGGCCAGTGTTGTGCAGCCAGGAGCTTGCCCAGAGCCTGGGAAGTGAGCTGGCAAGCAGCCTGTTTGTCTCCGTCTTTCCCAACCGTCCTGTTTCTGCCCAACGTTCAGGTGTCGGACACGCTGCTGGACTGCCGCAAGCACCTGACGTGGGTGGTGGCCGTGCTGCAGGAGGTGGCCGCTGCCGGGGCGCAGATGATTGCTCCTCTGGCGGAGAACGAGGGGCTGCTGGCGGTGAAGCTGGAGGATCTGGCCTTCAAAGTGAGCGAATCCCTGCTGCAGCGGGGGGAAGCCGTACCCCAACAGACCTGCCCGTGAGCAGCTCCGGGTGGGAGAGCCTTGCGGAGGCTGGGAACGAACTGCTGGGAATACGGCCAGGGAATGCCAACACGCAGAGGGCTTTGTGATCCCCTGCTCTGCGCTCTCCTTCCCCGCGGCTGCCTGCTCCGCAGCCGCACCAAAGGGCCTGCGGCCTCTGCAGGCCCGTGGCATGCTGGGGGGGTCGGGGGGGG